AAGCGGGGAGGCTGTGGGGGCCGCGCTGAGCCCGGGGAACGTGGAGAGGAAGCCGCTGTCGGCGCGACCGGCACGTGGGTCCTGCTGGTGGGGTGGTGGAAATCGGGAGCGTGTGTATTCTGTATTCTCAGGGGAAAAAAAAATCTTGGGTGTCTTTGGCCTCATCGGTGCCCCTCCGTCCACGCTCCAGCGTTCTGTGCTCCCAGTTTTGTGACATCAAGACGCTAGTGAGGATCAGCAAGTGGATTTAGTTAGCATTCTTTGAGTGGCAGCGTGGCTTAATAATGGTAAATTTCCGGGGTCCGTGATCCTTGGCCGAACTCTGGGCCCATTTCCCAGCCTCTTTAAACCTCAGTAGTGTCATTCATGAGAGGTTAATTCATCCCTATTTTATCTATGAAGATGGCAACACTCGTGTATGATGATAGCTTAGTATTATTTTGAGAGTACTAGGCATGAGAATGGCGTTTGGGAAGGCCCTAAATCGAGGAACTGTGTCACTTTCCTTTTCCCTTCCTCTTTTCTCTTCTTACAGGGTCTCACTGTGTTTGTCCAGGCTGGTTCCTAGGCCCGTGGTTTCCTTTCGCCTCAGTCTCCAGAGTAGCTAGCGCTCACAGTACAAGTGCCACGCACAGCTGTGCCTTTTCTGGTGTTTAGGTTCTTGGACCGAAAAAGAGCTCTACCCCAAATAATCCAAAGTGATTGTCAGAGCCCTTCCTGACCTTTTGCTGCAGGGGCTGACCACATTGCTCCTGAATTTACTACCTGAAGTTAAGTTTGGAGCGAATGCGCCTGGTCTAGCCAGATCCTACTATATCTAGCTGAGAAAGTTGTGTCAGGTGGATTTCCACAATCAGCCCATGCGTTGGATCTGTAAATGTGTATAAAATGTTGAGGATATAATGCTTGGCACAGAAAGTACTTAAAAACTTGCCTTTTCCAAGAGTAGTCTATTGAAATAACCTTTCATAAAAACCTTACTGTTTGTTCTTGCCTTTGGGGAACTGGAAACAATGTTATCAGATTTTAAGGCTCTCACTGCTCTTTGAGAAGTGTGCTTCATAGCCTGGTATCCTGTAGTTTTGGATGTTGTTAGTTGCCTGAGGGGGATGCCCGGTGCCTACCCTGCAAGAATTAGCTTACTGGTTTTATTTCAGTGGAGAAGATGGGAGACTATTGGGGTCTTTTCAGGCTACATTTTAATTCTCACGTTTAGTGTTTGGCGTGAAGGGAAGAAAACTGCGTTTACAAACCCTCTTTTGTTAAGACAGTGGCAGAATAACAGAAAGCTCAGTGGCTTCTAGTTCTGATCAAGAGTGGTAGGTATGTGTAGCTGGCTACTGCCTTCTCTTGAGTTGCATGGAAAAACGTCTAGGGCAGCTCAGGTGACATGACAGTTTGGAATCTAAATTCCCTGCCTCTTTCAAGATCTGGTCTTCTTTGTAAATAGGCAGAAGTGACTAAGCACTTAAAAGAAGGTAGGAAAACATTAGCTTTAGGAAATTTATTCTTGCTATTTATAATGCAAGTTTAGTTCCTGTTTTGCAGGTTTGAGACTATACTGTGAGATTTAGTTTGCAATTTTAGATAGCAATTTTTATTATACATTAATGTAGCAAATGTGCAGCCACAGCTAGGAGAGATAATTTTGTCAGTGTGTTTCTTGATGAATTTAATTTTTTTTCTTTAGTTGAGATCATACTGACCACTTTAGTTTTAGGCAAATGAGTTTATTTTTATCCCTGCTGATTCTAAATCCAAAAAAGTCACACTAGTGCATAGTTATTCCTTCCTTCCCCCCCCCATTAAAATGTCAGTAAAAAAGATAATTGCTTAGTCTTTGACTTTATTTTGCTTGTATTCTGTATCAGAAGCATCTGTCTTTTATGACATTGTTTTTTTTTTTAAAGATATACTTGATTGGTCTTTCATGGAGATATGATAGGTTAAGAAAAGAGCAGATTTATGTTTAAAATGACTTTATTTATTGGTGGTAATGGTCTTGAATTTAGAGCCTTGAATTTGGCTTCCCTCACTTTTCCCTCTGCCATTTGAGCCACATTACCATTTCTGGCATTTTTGCTCGTTCATCGGAGGTAAGAGTCTCTAGGACTTTTCTTCCTGGGCTAGCTTCAAACAGATCCTTTAGATCTCAGCATCCTAAGTAGCTAGGATTACAGGCGTAAGCCACCAGCACCCAGCTTAATTGACAATTTTAAATATAGTCATTAAGTTTTTCTTTTTAGTTGCTAATTTTGAACATTTTTTGGATTTTTTAATAGTGCATATTTACTCATTTAGAATGATAGTGATTTTATTTTATTTTGTTGGTTGTGGATCTTGAACTCTGGGCCTGGGTGCTGTCCCTGAGCTCTTCAGCTCAAGGCCAGCACTCTACCACTTGAGCCACAGAACCACTTCCAGTTTTTGCTGTTTATGTGGTGCTGAGTAATCGAACCCAGGGCCTCATGCATTCAAGGAAATCACTCTATCCCTGAGCCACTTTCCCAGCCCCTGATGGTGATTTTAATAGCCAGATGAATTTCAGTTAATTTATTTTCTTTGTAGAATGCAAAGATATTAAAAAATACTCATCTATAAAACTATCTTTGTATTGTTGCTGTGATTTTATTTCATTACTTTTTTGTAAACATACTTTTTTTTTAATATAATCTCTCCAGTAAATAGATGTTAGAAGAAAGGATTTTGAGTATTTTTCACCATAAGAAATGATAGGTGTTTGATTTAGATATGTTTAATCTTACTATTTCACATTATATGAAAGTATCAAAACACACATTGATATGTACGACTTCTGTGCTTTTATATCAGAAAAATGGCATTGTGTGTATGTGCATGCATGTGTGCAGGTGTGTGCCAATCCTGGAGCTTGGACTTAGGGCCTGGACACTGTCCCTCAGCTTTTTCACTCAAGGCTGGTGCTCTACCACTTGAGCCACAGCTACACTGATGAGCCATCAGTGCCCAGCGATTTATATTAATTTTATTTATTTATTTATTTGTCGGTCGGGCTTGAACTCTAGGCCTGGGCACTATCCCTCAGCTCTTCAGTTCAAGGCGAGTGCTCTACCACTTGAGCCACAGCACCATTTCTAGTTTTCTGGTGATTTATTGGAGATAAACTTTTCTGCCCGGGCTGGCTTTGAACCGTGATCTTCAGATCTCAACCTCCTGAGTAGCTAGGATTACAGGTGTGAGCCACCGGGATCTGGCCTATTAAAATTTTTTTTTTTTAATGTTATATTAAAATGTTGTTGCTTTCCCCCACCTGCCTTGTGGTTACTGTATTGTCAGTGGAGTATTAGGGAACCAAGGGTGGTATGAATCCTAGAAAGATACCATGGGGCCCAAACCAGGATGTGTTGATGGAAGTTACATTTTGCAAGTGTGGCCAGTAGGGTTTAATGCATTGGAATGTGGGATGTATAAGGGAGTCAAGGAATGCCAAAGATTTTGGAATTTTCCAAATGTTTCAGCCTCATTGACTGTGAGAGGTATACAGTGCTGTGATGCCTAAAATTGAGGCTTTTAACTTATTTAGGGGAGGTCAGGAAAAGTTTCTGAGGAAGTAGTCTTGACACTATGAGCTGATGAATGAGCAGTTTCTTGGAGAAAGCAGGATGAGTAAGAAAACCGAAGAAAAGGGCTGGGAAGGTGGCTCAGTGGTAGAGCGCTTGCCTTGCATGCTCGAGTCCCTGGGTTCGATTCCTCAGCACCACATAAGCAAAAAGAAAAAAGC